TTGTTATTAGGTTGTACTGACTGGGTAAAAAGCGTCAAAGCACATTCCATCGACCTAGTGCACCGGGTCACCGATCTGGCCCCTGTGGAGACTTCTTCGAGAACATTCGTTATTATTAGGTTGTACTGACTGAGTAAAAAGCGTAAAACCACATTCCGTCGACCTGGTGCACCAGGTCACCAATCTGGCCCGTATGCAGGCTTCTTCGGTACAAAATTTCGGCCGAATTTTATGATATATTTTTCTATTTATAAGATGTTATTGGTATGTGTATGAGTGTGTTTGGATGCGCGATAGTGTGTTTATTATGTGCATAAGTGTGTTATGGATGCGTGATAGTGTGTTTGGCGTGAGTATAAGTGTGTTTTAGATGCGTGACAGTGTGTTTGGCGTATGTGTTTCTAGGGTCGTTGAGGGTGGTCAGCTGAAGGTCTGGTTACCAAAATCAGTCGACCTGGTGCACGAGGACACCGAACTGGCCAATGTAAACCATCTTCTAGAATTTTCGTTAATTTCTGATGAAAGTGACTGGTTAAAAGTTGTAGAATCAAATTCTGGGCTCATGTGAAAACTTCTTCGAGAATATTCGTAATTTTCGGATCGTACTGACTGATAAGCCGAATAGTATCATACAGGTACAAACCAATGAGCCAAAGTGAATAGACAGTGGTTAGTTGACCTGGTGCAGCGAGATACCGAAGAGAGCTCGACGACTTCATATTCGGGTATTTTTATGTCAGACAGTTACGAATCAATGAGATCAAGTGGGTAGATCGTGATTCGTAGACCTGGTGCACCAGGTTAGCGGAGAGAGCTCGACGACATCATCTCCGGATATTTTGATGTCAGACGGGTACGAATCACTAATAATCTTTTGTTTTCGTTTTTTAAGTAACATTAGGGATATCTTTAAACTGTGATATCTTTAATTGTGGCCCAAATTTTTTAAATAAAATCGAAAAAGTTGCTATTATTTATGTAAAAAGGGTCATTTGAGTGTAAATAATGAAAGTTGTTGTAAATAATTCAGTTCGGTAGATTTTGACATATTTTGTGACAACGGTTTCTGGAAAACGACTTTACCAAATGGTCTAAAATTTTTAAGGGTTGTTGAGGGTGGTCAGCCGAAGGTCTGATTGCCACATTCCGTTGACCTTGTGCACCAGGTCGCCGATCTGGCCCCTGTGAAAACTTCTTCGAGAATTTTCGTTATTATTAGGTTGTGCTGAATGTGTAAAAAGTGTCAAACCACATTCCGTCGACCTGGTGCAGCAGGTCGCTGATCTGGCCCACGTGAAACCTTCATCGAGAATTTTCGTTATTTTCGGATCGTAGTGACTGATTGTAAAGTGTAGAACCGGATTCTGTCGACCTGGTGCACCAGGTCACCGATCCGGCCCCTGTAAAAACTTCTTCGAGAATTTTCGTTATTTTTGGGTTGTACCGACTGGTTAAAATTATACTAAATCATTTAATTTTTACAATACCTGTACAAAAACCCCAATTTAATCATGTTCCAACGCTTATTTATATTTGCAGAACAAAAATATTATATTTTTCAACGGGTGCAGTAATGGCTTTTTAAAAAAATGAGCGATGATGGCACGAGCTGAAAGAGAATTTTCAGCTCATCCAATTTTTAAATCATTGAAAAAGCTAACACATCTAACACATTTAACCTTTAGAGGGCTGGGATTTCAGAGGTCATATCAACATCCAAAACATCTAACATATCTGAAAGAGGGTGAATGTGCTTGGCCACCATCCAATTTTCGGCCAATCAGAGAAATCATTCAAATAAATAGAAATATATGCAAAATTTTGAAGCAATAAAATATTTTTTCAATTCTACAACTGTTATTGTTTGAGAGAAAATTCTTAGTACCCTTGAAAATTATTAAATCAACGTGCTGGCATAGCCGACACTCGTGTCTTTTTCCGCACACTCGTGCCCAAAAACGCTTTTTGCGCACTAAAAAATGTGCGAAAATAGTTATTTATGTAACAAGTGCCCAAAAAGCTGGGCACGTGTTGCATACAAAATTTTATGCAATAGTAGGCGAAAAATACGTTCATTAAAATAAGGCGTTTTACCGCACACCCGTGTCCAAAATGGGGCATTTTACCGCACACAAGGGTCCAATAACGCTTTTGGCGCACTAAAAAATGTGCGAAAAAAGACATTTTTTGTCATAATATTGCATAAATAACTATTATGCAATTGTAAAGCGAGAAATCCCCTTTTGGGTACACTTTTTAGTGCACAAAAAGCGTTTTTGGACACTGTTAAGCGGTACAATTTCTGATATTTTGTGAGATATCATGCTCGTTATTTGTGCACTTTTTGCATAGTATTTCATAAAATGTCGTATGCAGCAAGAGCCAAGCTTTTTCCCCAGAAATTGCGTGAAACAGTTCTCTTCTCGTGCAAGCGTAACCGGCACTCGTACTCACAAAATGGTTCC